CAATTTATCATATCAAATGAATATTATATGACACTGTCATGGGAGAGCCACGCCTTATTTCTGGGGTGGCCCTCGCCACGACAAGCAGGAAGTTCAAAGACAAAAGGACACGGACACCCAAGGGAAAATTCTGACTGCCTGTTGTTCATTTCAGACCAAACTACCCTACCGAAACCACAGAAGAAGAATTAGTGATGGACGACCATGCAGAACTCACGCTCAACGATTCGGATCACATCGCCGTGCGTCGTGTGCTCTTCATCCCTTTAACCTTCTTCCTGATTCCTCTTGGTGTTGATGTGTGAGGTTTGTGTCTCTTCAGGAGGAGGACGATGAAGATGAAGACAACCTGGTGGACTTGGAGGCGCTCACCCTGCAGAGCACGCTTCAAGTGAGCCATCAGCGCCAGGAAGTCGTTTAGCATGATGGCGGAGTAGCTTTGACCCGGGCAACCTGCCTTGTTCCCTCAGGAAGCGGCGGTGGCGGCGGCGGCGTCCAAACCTGATGAGATCATGCGCTCCACGCTAGACGTGGCCGAGTGGAATCTGGAAGTAGAAAGGGTCCTACCCCTCCTCAAAGTCACCATCAGGACCGACAACAAGGTACAGCACCTCGTCATTCAAGACATACGGAACTATTGAACACATTCTCAAAAGTTTTTACGCCTCCTTCCATTTTTCACCCCTGATTTCAAGCCGTTCCAACTTCAAATTGTTTTGCTCAGACAGAACATCTTTGGAACAGTTTGTCCCCAAATGACTGCGTGTTTTCAGTGTTCCACGTTTTCAGTGACTGTATGACCAAATGTGCCACTATCGTTTTTCATCTCTTTGTATTTTTTCAGTGAGTTCTCACAGATTTTCAGCGCAATGTCCGCTCTTCAGCATTCACCTACAATTTTTGCACAAATTGATCACGTTCGTAATTCAAGCCTTTGTTTTTGCCGTCATTTGTGCAGGACTGGAGGGTCCACGTGGACCAGATGCATCAGCACCAGGACGCCATCAAGTCCTCGCTCCATGAGGCGAAGGTGCCTTGACTGTCCTGCACAAGGGCAGGACATACCTTTGAATATTCCCCTTTTGTCAAAATCTCATCAGGTTCTTGTGCCAAATTGATGATGTCACACATCTGGTCCCGCCCCATGCCAAAACAATAGGCACAATTCCGGCTACGCCTCTCCGTCCGTGTTTGGGGTTGCTTTCTGCGTCACCTGCACCCATATTCAGGAAATGTAAAATGTCATTTTTTTTGTTTTTTCAATCCAATTCATTGTAATTGACAAATGCATCAATGATTAACTCATTCACGCATTCATTTTGGTACTTAGGTTTTCTTTTTTCCGAGCTTTTTTTTCCAAGACTGAAAGCCATTTTTTTTTTTTTTTTTAATATGGGTCTGAAAAAGGCTGGTACTGAATGAGTTTTAAAGGACTTTTTTTTTTTTTTTTTTAACGGGTCCTGCAGACTGTGCTCTCAAGATTGCTACTTTTTGGACCTTTGCCACAGCGTAGTTAGATTTTTATTCATGTATTTAAACTTTTTTCTTTTTGTTGCTTTTTTTGTGTACTTCTTATGACGGAGGATAAATCAAGGATCCCATATCTGATCATTGTTGGGGGAGAGATGGCCTTTCTCCTCCTCAGCGTATTCGTCAATTTCGGATGATGATATTTGGATATTAGCAATCCAAATACAGGCTGGAGACGATGAACAGTTTCCTCGAAGCTTTTATTCGCAGAATATTCCGGGCACCAATGAGTTCCAGACAAATGGCCGCAGTGGTCACAAGTGCGAAGGTACAAGGGATTCACAACATATTTATATCATCAGAAGGGCGGTACCGAAACTTATGGTGTGGCATCGGAACTTTCGTTTCTCCTAAACCGTTTCTTAGCTTGTATCAACTGGCGCATTCCGATGGTCTGTGCGTCTCCACAAGGTCTCCATTAAGGAGTACACCAATATTAACTGATGATTGCTTCAAGGACGCAAAGTTTCGCTGCGAGCATGGGAAAATTTTACAGCGTGACTAAATATGGTCAGAAGACAGTTCACCGTACTCAAGAAATGAAATCTGGAAAATGGATGCATGTTGACCTTTGTGATTTTAGCCAGCAGGAGCAGCAGCAGCACTTTTGATTATTTGCGTTGGGTGTTCTCAGGGCTACATTGGCAAGCTAGAGGAGGACATCAGCAGGACATTGGAAAAGGTGTCCAGTCGAGAGAAGTACATGAACAAGCAACTGGAAGGCGTCATCAGCGAACATCGCGCCGCTCAGGCCAAGCTCGGCGAGGTCAGACTCCGCCCCTGCCTCCCATCCTCCTAATTTCTCGACCTTGTTTTTTATCGTCTTCCTCTATTTGTCGTCTGCCAGGTCAGGGAGCTCTACCAACGCGCCAGCGGGGGCGTGGCCCAGAGGACTCGACTCCTGGCTGAGGTCAGTGAACCCGTCATGCTTCCGCACACTGTGTTATATGTCACCTCGGGTGACCGACTGGGACTGGACACACACGCACAGACTAGTCAGGACATGAGGACCACATGACTAAATAACCTGTAATGGCATGTGGGGGGCGTGGGGCAGTGAGGCTCCACTCTGCTCTGCAGAAACCAGAGGACACAGTCCTGCCAAGGCGACCAAGGTGGCTTATTAAGTTATTTTGGTTGTCACTTTTCAGCTGAGTGAAGAGTTGGAGAAGGTGAAACAAGAGATGGAGGAGCGAGGCAGCAGTATGTCGGATGGAGGTGAGAAAAGTTTCCTTCAACGTTTGCTCCCCTCCCCCTTTTTTTTTTTGGTCATGATCTGACGTGGCCACGCGCGTCTGTCCAGCGGCGGTGGTGAAGATCAAGCAGAGCGCCGGCAAGCTGAAGCAGGAGATCGTGCGCATGGACGTGCGTGCCGGCGTGGTGGCGCACATGCTGCTGCACGCCAAACTCAAGCACAAGTCCGACATTAGCTTCCACATGCACGCCTCTCCCGCCGTCTGAGCTCCGCCCACTGTAACGTCTTTCACATTTTCTCAGTTCTGCTGACAATTGACATGAAGTGTTTTCTGATGTGAAAAATAATTTTGGACCACAGTTGACGGGTGAAAGGCGGTGCAGCATGTCCAGCTCAACTGTCACCCACAGGCTAGAAAGAAAGAACGTTGTGGGAGGGAAAACTGCCCCGCAGCTTATTAGCACAGAAATCACAATTGACCGTGTGATTCGTAAATTAAGGGTTGAAAAGAAAACGTGGAAATGTTGTAGTATCTGTATCATATGAAGTATTGTGTTAACTTCAAGTTTTACGTTAGATAATCGTAGACAGTTGGAAAAAGGGCGTATGGTTGTCAAACATAGATAGCAGTTGGGGAGGGGCCTATGGTTGTCAATGTCAAACATAGATAGTAGGAAAACGTTAGTCAATTGTTAACTAATTGCAAGTCAAAGCATAAAGCAAATTACAGGTATGCCCAATCAAATTAGCGAAAAAAAACGCGCATCAGTAAAGATTGATCCACGTGACTACATCCGAAAAACTCGAGTACATTAAGCTACCATGACCACGAGGTTACGGCGACCTCTGAGACCCACATGCAATCACACAGAGGCCCGGTAGGGGCCTGTATTATATTTCAAAAATAAAGATATTGCGATACCATTAGAATCCAGAACCAAGACATGGAGCGACTTATAGATACCATTAAAACCTAAATGATAACGAAAGCCCTAGCCAATCAGAATTACACAACGCATTGTGATACCAATAAAACTGATGAATAACCGAAACGATTGTCCAATGGCATTTGAGGGGTTGGCCCCTCACAACGCTATAAAACCTGTGTTCAATCTCAAGGGATTTCAGAGTTCTCCTGATGTGCACATCTGTACCTCTCCGGGTTTTACCTGAATAAAACTCGTTTGTGACCAGCCTGCACTTCGGCCTCCGGACTAAGTTTGTATTTGGCTTTCGAACGATCTCGGCTTCAAGTTTAAAGAAACATCTGGTGTGTCCCCTGGTCTGCGGCTCAACAGAGAAGCGATTCTTCGTGTGTCGACCCTCCTGATCCTACGGCCGGCACCCGGGAGAGAGGCGGAACGCCTCGGCGCGCCCCTGACCTCCGGGGGGAGGCTTGGATCGGGCTCCGGGTCGACACATCACACCCAGTTCAGGGTGTACCCCACCGACTGCCCGAAGATGGCTGGGATCGGCTTCAGCACCCCCCATGACTCTTGTGATGAAGGAACAAGCGTTGTCTGGAATGTCACCAAAACGACCCCAACAAGAAGCACTTACCGCTTTCAGAACACGAGTGAGTGCTTAGGTTTGAGTAATGTTAGTGATGAAGAGGCCTATTGAGCTTTGGCTGACGTCAAGACATTGCTTTGAAAAACTAGGAACAAGCGTAGTCTGGAGAGTCACCAGAACTACCCCAACAAGAAGCACTTACTTCTTTCAGAACACGTCTGTGCTGATGTTTGGGCAATTTTGCTGACAAATTAGCAAACTGGGCATGGTTGAGGTCAGGACATTGAATTGAAAAAACAATTCATGACATGACAAACTATGAAAAAGACTGTTGATTTAATTTATCTAGGGAACAGCAAGAACGTCTCAATGTTCACATATCAGGGTTATTATGTCTTTCTGTACTTGGTTTTTGAACGATCTCGGCATCAAGCTCAAAGAAACTTCTGGTGTGTCCCCCGGTCTGCGGTTCAACAAAGGAAAGTCAGTTTTTTTCCTCCTTTTTGTGTCGCCCCCCCCTGCTCCCTCGGCCGTCCGCCCGGGACGCCTCGGCGCGCCCCTGGTCTCCGGGAAGGAGGCGTGGGTCCGGGTTCCGGGCCGACACATCAGTACCTCTCCGGGTTTTGGATGAATAAAACTCACTTGTGACCAGCCTTCCACTTGGACTCTTGTGGTGTCTGTTTTATATCTGTTTTATGGATTCATACTTTATAGGAATTTGTATTTTTACGCTTTTTTTGGGGGGGGGGCAAGTCGTGGCCACGCCCCATGACGTCTTCACAACTCTTGTGGCGACGCAAAAGGGCAGCAATTTTTTTTTTGCTAACACTCCGGAGGGAACAGCCCAAGTGTCCGCGTTTCTGGACTTTTCCTGCCTCAACTTTTCGCTCTTTGAAGGACATAAAGAGAAACAGTAGACGAGGAGCCTTTCTCAAGTAAGTTCGTGCGCCCCGGTGTGTGTGTGGGTGCGCGCGTGCGTGCGAGTAAGCGAATATCCTCCCAATTCGTCCTGGGAAGTTGATTCACGACAATTGAGCTCCAAAATCGAGCGTGGTCTTGCTTGTCGTCGATCTCATAAAACAACGTGAGATGGAGAGAGTCGTTCAAAGGCGTGTAAGAGGCGAGGGAGTCGATGCAGGGTTTCCACCGTAGGAAAGTCATGTAGACCCCGCCGCCTTCTTTTAAGTTCTGGATTTAAGCGGACTCAATAGATGCGATGTGGCTTTGGGGAATTCTTGTTGCATTATGTCTCATCCCGCCGACACTCCCCGCAGTATTGTCCGTCCATCTTGCCTGCAAAGAATGGTGGCTCTTGTTTTGATGAGCAGGTCTCTCCCCATTAGGTTCACTGGACCTCCCCACCCTCCCTTTGGTCAGTTCTGGACCCCCCCGAGCCTCCTTTTTGTCAGAACTGACCACAAGATGAGGACTTTTGGCCTGTTTATCCACTGGATTGTAATTGTTTGTGAAAATCAGCGCCCTGCCATTTGCCTATCATCAAATCAAGTTACAAACAGGGTCAAAGAAGGGTCTGCTGTTATATCCGTAGGAGCACTCTCACTGGAGTCGTCATCATCTAAGATGGCCCAAGAGGGGCCAGTTGCTCTATTCCAGGAACTTTGAATAACAATCACTGCCTTCCTCGCCAGTTGCCCTCAAATTGAATCGTGTTGCAGAGATGGCCCTTTTATTTCCAGAAGTTATTATTACAAAGTCAAATGAGGATGCCATTTAAGTTTGGACAAGTTAAATATTCGGCACGCATTGCTGTGAGGTCAGAAAATAGGCACAAAAGATCGAAGACGCTTAGTTTCTTTTCTCACGAGGAGAACGGAACAGACCGTTTCCAGTTCGACCAGGTTTTGAATCGGTCTGTGCCTTGCACTTTGTTTTGATCTCCTTAGGGAGGTCCCTAGCTAAGATCACAATCATGCTAAAGGAAAAAAGTGAAGGGGTTACAAAACTGACATCTTGCTCTGGACTTACGCGATGAGCAGTTTTGCGGTGTCTTCTTCAGTATCAGTTCATCCTTGCGCTTCCTGCAGTTGGTTGCAAGATAAAGACATCTGTCGGGTCGGCGGCAGATCAGCGAGACAACTTCCTTTCTGTAGCATGCAAGCACTTTCTAAAATAGTAACAGTTTATCAAAATACTCAGATAAGCTAATAAATGATAAACTCGAGGTAAATTGATTCATCAGTGCAATTGTATTGCACTGATGAATCAAGACTGTTGGATGTTCATCCATGCAGCCATTAATCAGGTAAATTGATCAATTTACCTCCAGTGGCAGACTGCTGATCAATATTTACATGTTAACTGTTATTTAACCACAATATAGTAACTACGACATTTTAGCTGTATTAATTTACTACAGTGTCTGTTAACAAACTACTTTGTGACACCCAAACAAGCGACACGTTTAACCTTGGCATATGTTTCGACGCGCCAAAACACGTACAGTTTTTTTCCAAGGTCACTTTGATTGAAAAACAGGAACTCGGTTTGATTAGGCATTGGAAAATAGGAACGCCGGGATCCGGCTGGTCTGTAAATCTTTTTTTTTTTTTAAATTACGGTTTAAATACACACATATTGTCATAAAAGGAACATTTCGGATTCTTTGTATCCGCTCATTGTAGTCAAGACTGTTGGATGCTCATCCATGCAGCCATTAATCAGATAACACAGAGCCCTGAAGCTCACAATTCTTTCAACACTGTGTAATCATGATCATATTAAATCGTGGCATCTGATTGATTACTTCGTAGCATTTTTTTTTGGAAAATCTGTTTTCAGAGCTGCAAAACACCAAGGAAGAATTCATTGCTGTGTCATGTGGAAAAGATGCAACTCTGAGAGCCGATACTTTTTTTTTTTTTCCTTTTCTTATCTTTATGTTGCTGCTCGCTCACAGGCCCCACGGCTGTGCTCGCTGGCCACTTTGTTTTGATTTGGGGGAGGGGGAAGGGGCGAAGCAGACGCTCCCCCGTGCGCCGAGGAAGGAGAAGACTCCGCAATGTCTCCGTGACCCCCTTGACTCCTCCGCAATGGTGCTTGGCTCCGCTTGGTGCGGTTGTCGTTGTAGTGTCTGTTTTATATTAGTATTGTACTAACTTCATGGAATTACGTTAGCTAATCGTAGTTAATGGAAAAAAGGGTGTATGGCTATCAATTAGTATTGATATGCAGTGTCTGTTTTATATTAGTATTGTACTAATTTCATGGAATTACGTTAGCTGATCGTAGATAGTAGGGAAAAAGGGTGTAGGGTTGTCAAACAGAGAAACGTATCTGTCAAACAAATGCATAAGCAAGAAGCAAATTGTAGATTGACGATGCTTGTTAGCCAATTACATGTCAAAGAATATGTAGGAAAAGAACTGAATGTATACTGATGATACATAACCAATTTGCAATGGTCTTCATTAGATTAGCAAGCATGCCCCCATTGTATTGGCAAAACGTGTATCGGCAATAATTGTTGCACATGTTCAGTAATTACTTCGGGCTGCCGAGCCGACGAAGACCCAATCAAATCTAAAGACTCGCATGCATTGAGTTGCCATGACTACAAGGACACGGTAATATTTGAAACCCACATGCAATCACACAAAGGCCCGGCAGGGGCCCCCATTATATTTTAAAAATAAAAGCTATTGTGACACCATTATAATTCAGAACCAAGACATGAAGTAACTTATAGATACCATTAAAAACTAGCTGACGAAGAAGGCCACTGCCAATCAGAATCACACAACGCATTATGATACTATTAGAGTTGATAAATGATCGAAGAGACTACCCAATGAAATTAGAGGGGTGGGCCCCTCGTAACGCTATAAAACCTGTGTTTAACCTCGGGAGAGTTCAGAGTTTTCCGATGTGCACATCTGTACCTCTCCGAGTTTTTGATTGAATAAAACTCGTTTGTGACCAGCCTGCACCTCGGCCTCTGGACTAAGTTTGCACTTGGTTTTTGATCGATCCTGGCATCAAGCCCAAAGAAACTTCTGGTGTGTCCCCTGGTTTGCGGCTCAACAAAAGAACGTCTGTTTTTTTCCATGTGTCGGCCCTCCTGATTCCTCGGCCGTCCACCCGGGAACAGGCGGAACGCCTCGGCGCGCCCCTGGTCTCCGGGAGGAGGCGTGGGTCCGGCTCCGGGCCGACACATCATTGTCGCCCCTGTTGCAAAGGAATTTAGTCCGTTTGTCGATCCGAATGGAATAAATGTCCAACACTTGGAAATATTTTCTTCTCTGGCAATCATGCGCCATATCCAGCAGCCTCACCAGCACAAAATCCAGTTTGATTCCGTCTGGTCATAAAGTTTGGAATGTGTGAGGAGACAAAAGACAACTAGTTTCGCCTGACCTTCAGCCTTTCCTACCCGGCTGGGACCAGTGAATAAAAACATCCCAGATAACAGCTCCTTACGCGACAAGAAAAACATGTTCACTGGAGGGGGTCGGGGGGAAACCACTGAATGGGTTTGATAGGAATGAAAGCAGTAAATCACAGTCAGCAGTTCTTTTACAGCTGGTGTGGTATCTTTTTTTATGTTAAGTGGTGTCTGTTTGCACGTAGCAAGCGGAAGATGAGTATGGTTGTCATAGCAAAACAAGTCAGCTGCCCTGAAATGGTCATTGTTAAGATTAGCAAAAATGCCTGTTGTCTGCTCGTCATCGTTAGGTAGCCAAGCATACGGTTACGGTTAAATCTAAAAGCATATGCAATCACACACAAAGGCCCAGTAGGGGCCCCTAGTATATTTTAACAAAATAAAGCCCATTGTGATCCCATTATAACGTAGAACCAAGGTATGAAGCTGGTTATAGATACCATTAAAATCTAGCTGACAAAGAATGTCAGCTCGATTTTTTTGGATGACTGTTTTAATGTCTTTGGTTTCTTTTCATTCCTTTTAATCATTTTTATGTTCTGATGTTCACGAAAGGTGTTAACAGTATGTTCCGTTGCTAAGGCAGTTCAAGTCAAGGTTACCTCATAAGGTTCAACTGGCGGTCATATTGGAAGGTTCAGAGTGAGGTCTATAGTCAAAAGTCTGTCTTGTCTGTGATACATAGTTTTAAACTAAACATGCAACATATAAAATTGATGGCTTCAAGACGCACAAACATTGGAATGCGCTAGCTAAGCTGAGAATCGGTTTAGGAGAAACGAAAGTTATGATATCACACCTTGTGTCTCGGTACCGCCCTTCTGATGGTATAACTGTGATGTTGTAGTATCTGTTTTATATGAAGTATTGAATAGACTTATTGAGTTGCCATGACTACAAGGACACGGTAATATTTGAAACCCACATGCAATCACACAAAGGCCCGGCAGGGGCCCCCATTATATTTTAAAAATAAAAGCTATTGTGACACCATTATAATTCAGAACCAAGACATGAAGTAACTTATAGATACCATTAAAAACTAGCTGACGAAGAAGGCCACTGCCAATCAGAATCACACAACGCATTATGATACTATTAGAGTTGATAAATGATCGAAGAGACTACCCAATGAAATTAGAGGGGTGGGCCCCTCGAAACGCTATAAAACCTGTGTTTAACCTCAGAGAAATTCAGAGTTTTCCGATGTGCACATCTGTACCTCTCCGAGTTTTTGATTGAATAAAACTCGTTTGTGACCAGCCTGCACCTCGGCCTCTGGACTAAGTTTGCACTTGGTTTTTGATCGATCCTGGCATCAAGCCCAAAGAAACTTCTGGTGTGTCCCCTGGTTTGCGGCTCAACAAAAGAACGTCTGTTTTTTTCCATGTGTCGGCCCTCCTGATTCCTCGGCCGTCCACCCGGGAACAGGCGGAACGCCTCGGCGCGCCCCTGGTCTCCGGGAGGAGGCGTGGGTCCGGCTCCGGGCCGACACATCATTGTCGCCCCTGTTGCAAAGGAATTTAGTCCGTT